TACAAGCCATCAAAAAAGAGCTATTACCGGAAGTGACGTCTATTGATAGCAACCTATTGAAAACTTGTGATTCAGCTGATGAACATTCTTGACGAGACCAGGAAATGACGTCAAGAGCAATTGTTTTTTACATCCCGCGTTTGCCCACATGATATGTTAATGACTTGCGAGCCGTGTTCTGCTCATCGAGAAGCAAGCAATAAAAACTCAAAACTACAGTCAAGTATATCTATTTTTGGTAAGTCTCTTCATTAAAATTCAACCTTGAATGATTCTACAATCTATATATATTAGCTATATTCTGTCAATGAGTTGTAAAAGGTACTAGTTTTGATATTTTGCAAGCTTGTCTTTGTCTCAAATGCAATATTCGATTCAATGAATATTCCACGAGTTCTTCCACGAGTAAAACAAGTAAGACATATTCGAGAAGTTACACTTTATTTCACATTATCTTATTTATTCTAAATTATAAGATTTCATCTATATTTCTATTTGTTACTGTACACGGTAATTTTTTTTCAAACATTTCCAAAAACTCAATTTACAACACTACAATTTGATTGAATTTCGCGCGCTTCGTTCGATGACTTTGACATGTGGTTTCCCAAATTCATTGAAAATGTCTCAGCTAAGGTTGTTTCCTCTAAAGAAAGCAAATTATATTCTTGCTATGTTTCCTCCAAAGAAGAGACGTTGACATACAGTCGATGATCGTATTCCTTTAAGTTCAAATATCTCTGTAAAGTACAAAGGTACAAAGTGTTTTGAAATTGCCTGCTATTCGTACCACAGGAAGACCACTAGAGCTAAAAAAGGATTGGATTGAATTCTTGCGATATACAAATTCACATGCATTCCCTAGCTTTTTATRGATTACAAGAGTACATTACTTGAGTTGGACTGTGCTTTATCTATACATCTTTACAAAAAATAAGAAACTAGCAAATATTTACCTGGTGATCTTTGGCTAAGAGTGTAATTTGTTTACATAAAGATGTAAAGTCTGGACGATGGTTTGGATTCTTTGACCAGCATTGAAGCATTAGGGAATACCTGCATGAAAATGGTGAATGACTCAAATGATTCAGGTAATTTGCTTGGGATAGTGTTACTTACAGTTTGCTGTAGACATGTGGAGGCTTGGATAATCGTTTACCATTTTTGATCATTTCTACAACTTCTAGTCCATTCATGCCAGCGTAAGGACGACCTCCTGGGTATATAAACATAATGGAAAAGGAGCGTAACTCCATCCATCCATTCCCATCCATCCATTCCCATCCATACATTCATTCCCATCCATACATTCATTGCCATCCATTTATTCATCCATCCGATCAGTTATTCATACATCAATAAATGCATCCATTTGCATCCAACTTATCCATCCATTTATTTATTCATTCATCCATTTATTTATTCATTCATCCATCCATCCATCCATCCATCCATCCATCCATCCATCCATCCATCCATTCATCCATCCATCCCTCC